AGCACACGTATCTGTTTGCCAAGGTAAGATATTTAAATTTTTAAGTAATACTTTGTCTTTTTAAAAAATATTTCCTGGTGACATTTTTAATCATGGTTGCTATTGTTTTTAATAATAACTATTTAAAACAGAAATAAATAATTAAAAATTATTAATAAATTAATAAATACCAGTAATAAATACCAGTAATAAATTTACCAGTAATAAATGCCAGTAATAAATTACGGTATTAATAAATTTATTACCTACCAGTAATAAATTTATGTGGTGTTTCCACAAACAAAACCATTATAATTAAATGTTGTTTGTATTTTGTTTAAACTCCTGCGCAATTCATGCAATATGCATAAAAATTTCCTGTCGAGTTATAGAAACACGGGTTTTTTGAGCTTTTGGCTAATCAGCGCCCGTGTTTTTAAAAGGCTATTTTATAAAAGACTATATAACTACCAACCTCGTACCCAGGACTAGTCGCGAATTGAAGGCGGCGACATAGCCCTGGTAAACGCTGGTCACGTGACTCCAAAATTACGTAATTGTTACTTTTCTCAACCGGGGGGTGAATAGGTGAAACTCGAAGACAAACTGTTTTTATCTCCGAAATTCTTCAATCTTCCTTCTGAATTTTGCACTTCAAGCTTTTCTCAAAGTACGGCGATCGATCAAATGGATCAATACTTTCTGTAGAAAAAACTCAGTGAGATTTGTTCGTATGAGACGTTTAAAAGACATGGATATGTCGCCAAAGACGCTCGATCATTGCACAGGTTTATGGAATAGTACTTTGTTCATTTTGTTGCGACTTATGCAAATTCAACTCTTGTATAATGACTAAAAGTTGGTTTGTAGAGGGACAACTTATACAAAAGATATGAATACATTAGCTTCAAACAGGGACAAGTTCATGGACAATGGACATCCCTAATATATGGACATTGATATTTCACCAATATGTAAATATGACTATTAAATATATAAAAGGATTGCTGTTGTATTACTTGTATATGTATATGTACAAGTGTTGTGCTGTGGTATCTATGGACTAGAATTTCTGAGGGGGTTGAAAAAGCCGTTTCTGAGGGGTTGTGTGCATCAGCATCCTTTGATCTTTGCATTTTTTCTGAGGGATAAGGCAAAAATTTCTTAATTTCTGGAGGGGGGGGGGGTCGGCACTTTGATCTTTTTTTCTTAGGGGTTCAAATTTTATTGAACTCGTCCATAGGGGGTGTATACATTAAATAATGGAATGGCCCAATGCACCCAGATACACCCTACTTTGTTAGTTTACTCTGTCTAACGCCAGACAATTTTACTCGTCAGGTGGAGGGTGCATGGCGCCACTCAATGGGTTAACATAGTCGATGAACATGCCAAATGATCCTTGACCGTGGTAGTACATTTTTGCACTTGCTGGATGATATTGCAACGAAGCATTGTTTCAGAGGAAGAGCACTGAGATCATGCTGTGTAGCAATTGGAATCTCACAGAGCCTGCTCTCACATAAAGCAGGCAAGACCTTCACTCAGAAGCCAGTCCTGATTAATATTAATTCCCCACACAAACACTTGGAAACCAGACTGTCCCATCTGCCATATATGCAGGACAAAAAACATGCAGCCTGGACTTTAACTGTTAAACAACCAAATCAGCATGATAAACAGTGTGATGATTTTTGCTTAGCCCAAACCAAAGCCAGGTTTCTAGAATTAATTTGCAGAATCCTAAGAATTGGACCTCCAACTTGAAGAGCTAGCTGTGCTAACCAAGTTGCATGGGCAACCCTGAATTGACATGACTAGAGCAAACCTTCAACAAATAATAGAGAGATCAGATTTGACTTCCACTGCTGCTATTGCTACCATTAACTAGATAAGTTTCATTTATCCAATCAAACAATCAGATGCAACTGCCAGATCAAGTAGTGGTAGTCAAATTTGAACCTTTCTATATGGATTTCAGAGAGACCAGTCATTATTTGCTGATATATTATTATAACTTGTTTAATCAAAAGCTACTATATATTAATTTATGATATTAAAAATTGATATAATTTTATCTATAAAGTGAGAATAATTTAAAAAAATATTCATAACATAAAATGATTCATGCATGCTGGTGATTGAATAAACCATGAAGTGTGCATTCTGAATCTCTACAAATTCCTTGACATTATTTTTCCAGTACAGTGTAAAACTATATATATAAATGTGACACAGGTTGCAGGTTAATGGTTACATGTCCACCAGTCTGCTGAAATACCATCCAGTGACCCGGTCTTGTTCATTGTTACTTGCATCTTGCTTAATTCAACTGTTTTTGCCCCATTTCTTGTACCCATAAAGTTCTTTTCAATAATCTAGAAAACTTCAAAATCATTCAGTAAATTTAATTCTAAAATTGGGTGAAAGGTAAGGGGTCAATAATAGATGAAGAAATCATTTCTTATTGTTCATACATATGGCCCCATCTCTGTAGGGTATTAGAGTAGAAATTTATTGAAGCCTGAAGTCAGAAAATAAATATGGCAACAAGGTTACATGCCATACTACAGAGTTAGGCAATTTTTTTAAAGATCTCAAGGGCACAAAAGGTATAAATATAGATTGTAGGGGCAAGGGAACAAAATAATGAAATTGTGAGATTCGGGGGCAGGTTTTACAATGGGGTGCTAAAACTTTTCCCTAAAGAATTCCTGACCAGCTGGAGTGCTGAAACTGATGTTTGACTATTGAAATATCCTAGCAGGTTAGGTTCATCAGATTTTAGCTTTGTCAACCTGGCCACTCTGTTATTACAGTAATTGCTCATTTAAATAATTTCAGGTCATTACTGTAAATGTAAATACAAAGTATTTGAAGTTAATACTGCTGTAAAATGTAGTTTAATAATATTGTATTAAAGTGTAAACACGTTTCTCAAGTCTGGCCATGTGTTTCTCAATATTCACAATATTTAACTACAATTGTACAAATTCAACTATATTAACATACTGTATAAAATATATTACAGTAAATAGCCTTCGAAATATATATTTCATAGAGCTAGACAGTGTATAAACAAATAATGGGAATCTGCTAAATAATTTGTAACAATGAAATACTTCTAAACATTTTCAAATTCATATATACTGTACCTTTTTATACTTGATGGAAATCATCACAAATAGTATGTACGAGATTGGCTCCATTTTCACTGCTTCGAAATTCGAAACATCGCCTCCTCGGCGATTTACATGATGCGATATAAAAGAAGATTGATGTACATTCGACGTAATATATAAACGTAACATATTAAGAAGAAAGATTACAACAAAAAATAAAAGAATATAAATAATCCGCGGCAATTCAAGATCCATACGTGAACTTTTCGTCGCCCCCCTGTCTTCATTTCCACAAAGCCCGCTCGCAGGCTAATACTCCAAGAATCTTGGAGTATTTGCCTGACACGTGACCAGCGTTTACCAGGGCTATGTCGCCGCCTTCAATTCGCGACTAGTCCTGGGTACGAGGTTGCTGGAAACTTTTACAGGCTTTTTAATGAGAATAGAGAATGTTTTATCTGCAACTGTTCACCCTTAGTTGCCACCGACGGTATTTGACAGCATAAAATTGCCTGTGGCTGTGATAACTGATATAAATAAAATACAGTCTGGTTATACTGACTTGAGCAGTTGAGCGTGTCATGACAAACTCTTTATTGGAAAATTGTGAAGAAATAGTCGAATATAGAGGGTCGAATATCATACTTAAACTTGTATAGCTACAGTATCATTGGTACATAACGTTGTGAAGACAAGCCTTTGCTTTAATACCTTTCGCTTCAGCAGTCTTTTTTTTTCCATGCTTCTCTACGCTTTTCCAAACGAGCTTCTCTTTCCTCAGCAGTCTCCTCGAGCAAACGTTGTCGTCTTCGCTGGCTCCCTCCTTTTTGCGAGACGTTCGGCTTTCTTGTCGTTTCCTTGCCGCTCTTCATTTGGCTCCATACAGTAGTCCATATCTTTTCAATTGGTATTTGATACCATAATTGTTTTATTAAACTCTTTATAGAGCAAATTGCTTTGAAAGCTGTCAAAGTTTTTTTGCAAACGTACAAAATACTGCAGTGCAAAAAGCAAATTATTTTCATGAAGTATCTGTCAGTTGAAGTCGTGATTTGTCATACAACAACAAATTTTAAATTTGACCAATCAGTGTTCGCTATCCATGACAGTCCGCCATCTTTTTGAGATCAGTGAGGATGACCACCCCCGCACAGTGACCCACGCCCGCGATATTTGATGAACTTTAGACTTGGCTAATGCTTTCGTTTCCCCGGGTGTAAATAGCCGGGGGGAATTAGTACCCTCGCACGGCGCTTCGCGCCGCCGGCTCGGGGATAAATCGTATTTAAACTGTACTAACTGTAGGGAGCCACCTTAAGAATAATTTTCCAGTTCCAATAAGTGCTGTAGAAAAATGTTTCATTATTTTCTTGAAATGAGATATATTTTTCTTAAAATAAGAAAATGAATTTTTCATTACCTGTTCAAGCCAAGAGAAGTCCATTTGTGTAAAAGTTGTTTTCAATTCCGTCAAAATATCCCTTCGTTGATGATCTGCTGAATATAATTTTCGTCTAACTTCTTTTATACGTGATTGCACTCGTGATTGCACTCGTGATTGCCGTTTCAAGCCCTGCTTTCATTCTTTTAAGATTACGCGTTTGATATTTATACATCTACGTATCAATAACATTGTCGACAACATTGTTGTCTCTACATCTACGTAAAAACTTTAGATGGTTTCTTGTTCTCGCTACTTTCGTCGTACATTTTTGTAGATTGTTTGACAGTTTTAGATAACGGCTCCCGTACCGATCTTTAATCCTGTTTCTAAAACTTCAGAACATAAAGAGAATAAGAAAGTGAAGGAGAGACAAATTAAGAAATATAAAGCATTAATTGATGAGAAAAGAAAGCTTGAAGAAATGTTAAATGAAAGATTGAAAGACCAAGAAAAAAATGAGAAAGGAAAAGATTAAAAAGGAAGTAATTGATCTTACAAAAAATGGAATTGATGATGATGTAAAGAAATATCTAGCATTAGGACCTGATTTTTCTACACGAGTACCATATGAGAAAATTATTTCAGAGACGGATAAAATGTGTTCGGTGATTGAGAAGGAAGGGGAATTGAAAGAAATCGATAAAGAAATCGTTGAACGTGAACTGAGTGATGTACATGAAAGTATGAGAATGATTTTAGAAAAAGCAAGACACAGGAAGTGTCAAACTAACTTGACAAAGGATGAAATGAATGGATAGAAAAAGCTGTGATGCAGTGATGGACGAGAACAGAGTATTTCTACCAGCGGACAAAGGACGTATTATGGTAACAATGGATAAATGGGAAAGTGAGGGAAAAGAACAAAGTTAGGAATATAAAATGAAGAATGTACTTATTGACTTGAAAGCAAAGCCATCCATAAGGGGAGGAATAGATTCGGACTTGACGCAAAAAGTCTGCCGAGAAGGATCGAAGATCGCAGAGAGTATTGTAAGAAAAAATGAGTTATCGGAGGAAACTGTTAATTATTTAAAACCGAAAGATTGCCATGCTCCTAGATTATCGGATTTGCCGAAAACACACAAGGACGGTGTTCCAATGAGGGGAATAGTGTCAATGATAGGTTCACCGTTCGAGAAAGTGTCGAGATCCCTTATCCCAATCTTACGAGTGATACAGGGAAGAAGCGGTCTATACATAAAAAAATCGCGAGAATTAAAAGAGAGTAAAGAACTGGCGGTTAGAGAGAAACGAGGTTCCTGCGAGTTACGATGTAAAGAACCTGTATCGGCTTATATATAAGCTTAGTGGAAAGATTGCTGAGGGAAAGCAAGAAGTTAAAGGATATAACAGATCTGAGTATTGGATCGGTCATGGAGTTTATTGAAGTGGGTGTTTAACCTAACGTACTGTGAGTACAATGGGAGTCATTACGTTTTGGAAAGTGGACCGATTGGGCTTGGAGCAACGGGTGAGATCGCGATGATATTCATGAAGGAATTTCAGTTACGGGCAATCGAAACGTCACCGTGTCCATTGAATGAATGGTTCTGGTACGTTGATGATAGTGAGATAGATTTAGAAAAAATCAGTCGGATGTGATACTTGACCATCTAAACAGCATTGAAAAGGGGATAATCGAGTTTACCAAAGAAGAGCAAGAAAATGATGTTATCCCGATTTTGGATCTGAAACAGAAAATCAACAGGAAAACGAAACAAATCGAGTGTATGGTTCACTACAAGAAAACACATACCAATATAAATGTCAAGGAAAGATCTAACCATCCCTCCACGATGAAGAAATGTATAATTAAAGGATTTGCAGATCCGGCTCGAGCATTATGCGATCCTGGATATGTAGAAGAGGAACTGAAAAATGTCGAAGATGTGTTTGTGGCTAATGGATATGACAGAGAGACAGTGAAACGGTATATGAAAAACAAAGAGGAGGATACGAATGAGTCGACAGATCCTAAAGATGAGGAATGTTGTAGAGGAATGGTGGTTATACCATATTTACAAGGAATGTTGGAGCAGTTCAAGAGAGTCGCTAAGAAGCATCGTTTCCGTACCGCATTCGGACCGGGGAATAAAGTGGGACAAATGAAAACAAAGGCACAGAAACCACTGGGAGAGAAACGGAAGACTGTTGTATACGAAGTTCCTTGCAAATGTGATGAGGCGGTTTATGTGGGAGAGACTTGGCGCTTATTTGGAACTAGAAAGAAAGAGCATATGAGTAAAGTTCGGTTGACGGGAGAGGACATAAAGAATTGAAAACTAGAGTCGGCAGAAGAAAGAATGGGTAAGGAAGATGGAGGTTCGGCGAGACATAGCGTTGATTGCGAGAGTGGATTGATTGGGAAAAGGCACGAGTGATAACAACTGAAAATGGATTAAAACAGAGGAAAGTGAGAGAAGGAATTGAGTCTTTAAGAGAACAATATAATGGCTACACGGTTTTGAACAATTTCGAACAATTGGTGATGTGGAGACCATTGTTAAATAAGTATTTTAAGAAGGAACATGTAAACAAGAACACGCGCACGCAAGTGCATAGTGACGCGCGCGCGAAATGACGTGACTGACAGTTAAATCGTCAGCATTTTTAAATATAACGTTAACAACAATTGTCGCCTGAAGACGAATATTAAAATGTCCGAAACGTTGCAAATTTAATTAAATTAACCTTTTGTATATATCCTTGTGAAATAAAAATGAATAATAAGTTATGAGCAACAAAGGTGAAAGTTTTAGAAACAAAATAAAAAAAATTCTTGTTTCAAGAAAATAATTCTTGAAACAAGTTTTTTTTTAATCGTTTTGTTTGTAGAAACACCACGTAAATTTATTACCACGTAAATTTATTACTACGTAAAATTATTATTTATTAATTTATTGATTGCAGTAATAAATTTACGTGGTGTTTCACAAACAAAACTATTATATTTTATCGCCATGCAAACATACAGAGAAGTGGGTTTTTTTTTTGAAATAAGAAAACGATGTTTTGCTGTGTATATATGAAAATGCTGACATATCTTTAAAGTGTATATGGAATGAAATTTCTTATTTTCTTAAATGAAAGAACTCTTTAAGCTGTAGTGTAACTTATCTTTCAGTTTCTTGTTTCTATGGTTTGTTTCCGAGATATTTCAATTTGTTTGACATGTAAATGAGTGTGAATAGTCCGCTAATTTATGACGTCATGTTGGTTGTAAGTTACACTACAACTTAAAGAGTTCTTTCATTTAAGAAAATAAGAAATTTCATGTCATATACACACTTTAAAGGCATTCGAATGTTTAATATATTATTTCATATCGTTATGTTTATATATTATACCCTTGACACTCTGCCCTTGACAAAGGTCTAGTACAGCTCCAAATTACATGCCAAAGACAATTGTTGCCAAACTGTTAATAATGCTTTAACATTTGACGCTGATATCAACTAGTAACGTGTCTCGTCCTTATACTAATTACAATACTATATAATTATGCCCGCTGCCGATCGGTGGGGATGAATTCGGTTCCAGATTATGGTGGTACTGGATTATCTTAGACCCCATAACCAGGCGAGGGATCATAGATACTTCCTCAACCAATGGAACCTCTTCCATCCCCATCGATGACAAGTCAACCTGTCTGCACAGGGAAGAGATCTCTACTTACTAACCAAGTTGCTCCCTAAAGTCCCCAAACCTGATCCGCACAACACGCGTAAACCGAATAACCCCTAATAACCCGGAAACAGATCCAGAGTACTACAACCCAAGTGGAAAGTGTATGGTAGACACCTGAAAAGCTCGTGACGCCAACATAATTCCATCGTTTGGGTTTGACATTTTGATAAATATATTGTAAATATCAACTGGAATGCAGTCAGCACAAAAAATTGAAACGACGCTATCCCGTGGACCTTCGCGCTCTGACACGTTAACTAGGCACCAGGCGCCCAGACAATACGCGAACTATTGCTGCTACATTGTATGCAGCATTGCATGTCATATAGTTGCTACATTGTATGCAGCATTGTATGTCATATAGCTGCTACATTGTATGCAGAATTGTATGTCATATAGTTGCTACATTGTATGCAGCATTGTATGTCATATATGCTACGTTGTATGTCATATAGTTTCTACATTGTATGCAACATTGTATGTCATATATGCTACATTGTATGCAGCATTGTATGTCATATAGCTGCGACATTGTACGCAGCATTGTATGTCATATAGTTGCTACATTGTATGCAGCATTGTATGTCATATATGCTACATTGTATGTCATATAGTTGCTGACAAATATTACAAATATTTTCAATCAGTTACTGGCTGTTAATTTTCTCTATTATAAATTATCGGAAAATCATGAAAATTCTCTGCAATTATTCAATAAAACATGAAAAGAACTCAAATTTTAGAAAGTAAATTAGAATGTATAGTATGGTATCAGGGGCGATGAAAGTGGGGGAAAGATCTCCTTTCCTAAAGGGGAAAAATGTAGCATTTTAATATAAATAAAAAACAATATTTCTCCCAAATTTACCTTAACAAATTAATTAATAAAGATAAATATTTTAGAGGAGAATTGTTATGTTTAATCTTGATGACATCAGTCATGCACGCAATTAATTCCGAGTAGCGAATTCTCTCCTGAACATGCAAAAATACATATTCAGATTATTCTAAAGATAAGTGTTATACAGTTAAAACGAATGTACTAAACACCTTATAGAATCTAAATACAGGATGACATTTGACATCTGTCACATCTCGGTTAAAAGAATATTGAGGAAACATATTTCTTATTTTAAGACACTGTTTCGCCGAAAAATATATCCGTTTGGAAAGAAATGCAAAAATTACAAAAGATGTTATGTATGCATTTAAAAACCAGAATAGAATGCCATTCCTGTTTCCTATATAGTTAAATTCTAGCATATTTTAATTTCTTTTCTTCGAGAAAATTTGAGAAATAATTTCTTATTAACCATTATTTCATTACAGTAAGAATTTGAATTTTTGTTTAAGAAACTATTTCTTAAAACAAGAAAATCATGTTTTCTAAGACAATGATTTGATATGAGATGAAGAAATCATAATAAAACAAATTCTTATTTTAAGAAAGCAAAAATAATGTAAAATATGTCAAGAAAATTTTTCTTATTTCAAGAAAAAATATCTTGCAAATCAAATATTTCTTATTTTAAGAATTGTTTTTCTTATTAAGAAAAGCTGTTTCTCATGTTAAGAAATAATTTCTTCAATCAAGAATTGTTTTCTTAATAAGAAAATGATTTTTTAACAGTTTCTTTACGCGCAAAAGTTACTTATGTCAAGTTTTTATGTACCTGCAGTGAGTTCATCAGAGTTTTTCAACAGCTTAATTTAGTATATATATATATATATATATATATATATATATATATATATATATATATATATATATATATATATATATATATATATATATATATATATTATATATATATAGAGCTTAAGATTTTGGTTTACGAAACACAAACAGTGCTCAATACCATATAGATAGAACGTAATATAGTTTTTAATCAGGACCACCTGATGATTCCTATACGGATGAAACAGACTGTTGTGGTTTTTTGAGGTAAAACGAAAAACTAATATATATATATGTATATATATGTATATATATATATATATATATATATATATATATATATATATATATATATATATATAAACAGTTTTGTTTTTCGTTATAGATAAAAGAGTGCTCAATACTACAAATTATTTAGCAGAGCGAATTAATTTGTTATCTTAAAATGTTTCAATTTCTCGCTACTTTAAGTTTCATGCCACTATTTGTGGCAATCTAACAATCTCTCATTACTAACAATCTCTCCATCGGAAACCGTGTTGATGTTATGGCTAAACGTAACGCCTTCATTACAATAAAAGATCATAAAGAAAACTTCCCTTCCAATGTAAAATGCCGCCTGATTAATCCATCAAAGAGTGAACTTGGAAAAGTCAGCAAAGTCATCCTTGATAATATCAACAATAACATCCGATCAGCCATAAACGTTAATCAATGGAAAAACTCCAAGTCTGTTATTGACTGGTTCCAGAACATCGAAGGAAAACCCAACCATACATTTTTATCGTTTGACATAGTTGAATTTTATCCTTCCATCACAGAAGACCTCCTTGACCGCGCCATCTTTTGGGCTACAACTTTAACAACAATCCCGGAAGAAGATATTTCCATAATCAAACATGCGCGAAAATCACTCTTGTTTAACAGCGATACAGCT